TGTTTCGTCTGCCTCTTTCTTCTACAATCCTCCCAGCGCTTTCCCTGTCGATTCCGACCAGCCACCACCGATTGCTGCCACACACTCGCCGCCGACCGAACGTTCATTACCGGCGACAAGTCCTTCATTGCCGGCGTCCAGCGACCAAGAGGGCATCCAACGACACAGCTACTTTTCCAAAAAAATTGAGCAATCTAAGGTCAAATTCTTTCCCTAATTTCTATTCTTCTTCTGTTTTAATGTTAGTTTTAGCATTGATTTATATGTTTTCTAAGATTTTGTTTGGTTAGTGATTTTGAGGGCTACCAAGACCTTCTGTGTTTCTGTGTTTTGATGTTAGTTTATGGATTTTGTGACATTATATATATGTTTTCTCAGATTTATGCAACCTATTGCATAATTGATTTCATGTTTATGTACATTGTGATGTATTTGGGATGAAAATAGAATTAAGCATGGTTTGTATGATTTTGTATTTAGATTTATATTTTGTATGAAATTGAAATTTTATGTCTAAAATGGTAAGTGCTATAATGTATGATGTTGTATTGTATGTCTTAAATGAAATGAAAATTGGAATTTAATGTATTTTATACATGTATTTCTTGTAAATGTTATAGTTTGCATTTATTTTGGTTAATTATATTTGTAGACTTTTAAAGTTCTCTAAATGTTATATTGTGTATTTATAGTTTGCATTTATTTTGGTTAATTATATTTGGTTAATTACAAGAAGAAGAATGTATTTTGGTTAATTATATTTGTAGCGTGAAGAAAATGATCCACAGAGGTATTATGATCAATTTCTTACCATTTTTTTTGAATTATTACACTTTTAAAGTTCTATAAATGATATTTTTTATAAATGTTATATTTGTATAATGAATTTGTGCAGGAAAAAATTGAACAAAAAAGTAGGATGCAATAATGGAAAAAAAAAGTATGATGTTATATTGTAATTTTGCAGGCTATATGTGGGGTTTAGTTGGGTGATACTCTTCTACATGATGGCGGATGTTATGGGCTTAGGACATGGAGGTGATGGAGCCGGGGATCCACCACCTCCAGTAGGCTTTGGTCGTGGACAACACGAACAGGATGGTCAGTCTTATTATAATATATTTATTAGCTATTTTTTATCCATTTATTATAAGCTATCGTGACTAATATTTTTAATTATATTTTTCAGTTGAGCTCTCTAAAAAAAGAAGAGGCCTAGCAAAAAACATCCAACTATCAAAGCTGATACGGGCAAACAAGGGAAAGCCTGTGGATTTGGATTTCGATAGGGAGTTGACATATTCCCCTGTCGGGAACCGTGGTAATTGGTTTACCCGTGAGATTGGGAGGTATATGTGGATGAACATCCCTTTAAACGTATCTGGTTGGGACAATGTTTCCCCCGCTTTAAGGAATGCCACAGTGGTTCATCTAAAGGTAACTTGGATAATATTTTAAGTTTAGTTCTGATTGGTATTTAACTAACTAACTTTTTTGTATTTGTAGAATAAGTTTGATTTAGATAAGGTTAACTTGGATCCCGAGCGTGCTCAGTTGTTGCAGAGCATTGATGCGACTTTGCAAAGAGTTTATAGAGGCCGGAAAAATAAAGCGCATACTTATTTTCAGAATGTTGGGGGGCTTACAGATATCCCAAGGGCATTAGCCAACGCCCCCGATGGTATGTCACGTGAAAATTGGGCGCAAGCAGTCGAACATTTTCAAACTCCTGAATTTATAAAGCGTTCGGCGTCAAACAAATGAGTTCGTGCACAACAACAAGTTGTAAACAGAGGGGGATCGTGCTCGTATAGCAATGCATGTTTCAAAGAAGTAAGCTATGATATATTTAACTATTTATTTAAATTATAATTAATCTAATTTTTAATGTTAAATAGGACATCGCTCGAATTGAAGCATTTCGTAAGGCCAATACTGATCGCCAAGGGGTATTTAGTAGTCCAGCAGTCGAGCAACAATACGTAAGCGGTTAATTTGTATTTTCATATAAGTGTTTATATCGTCAAGGGGTATTTAGTAATCTAATTTTTATGATGTTTATCATTTTTTGAAAATACAGAATGCTTTACTCCTTGAGATCAGTCAACAAACTCAAGCTTCTTCTGAAGCCAACGGTCTAACACCAAAGGATACACAAAATTGTTTTGAAAAAATATTGGGTGTTCTACGTGGCCATATCAGAGGCATCGGGCGTAAACCTTCTACGGTTGTGTCGATGTACGACTAGGAACAACTACTGACGCAGTCGCCGCCACAATCACAGGTGACAAGACTATTTAATTTTGGTAATTGTTTCAAATGTTGGTAATTGTTGGTTTAGTAATAGTTTCAAATTTTTGTAATTGTTAGTTTGATAATAGTTTATATATTGGTAATTGTTAGTTTTGTTATACTTTGCTTGTATGTGGAATGTATATTTTGTATATAGAATGTTATAATGCTAGTTTAACTTATAAGACTATGTTGTTTTATTTGTAGTTGGAAATGCTTCAAACAATGTTAAAAGATCCGACATGTACTGCTGCATTTGAAGATTGGTTTCGTTCGTTGCCACAACGAAATGAAACCGGAGGAAACGAGGAGAGCGATGATGACGAGTAGATAGTTGAAGGATTTTTTGTATGTTTTGTTTGTACAAGTATTTTAGACTAGTATTTTCGATATTTTGTTATATGTTAAATCGGACGAGTATTTTAAACGGATGTTGTATTAATATTTTGGAATTGAATGATGTAAGATTAGATTAATTAATATCATACCAGTTTTTATACTTTATATATATATATATATATATATATATATATATATATATATATATATATATATATATATATATATATATATATATATATATATATATATAAAGGAAAACATCAATACCGGCGACGCCTTTAGTGGCGACAGTGGGTTATTAGCGGCGACGTTGTTTTAGCGGCGACGGTGTTATTAGCGGCGACAACAGACGTTAGCGGCGACAGTTTGATTATTAGCGACGAAGCATCAGCGACGACGCTTTAGCAGCGACATGTCGCCGCTAATAGTATTAGCGGCGACAAACCCCAGTCTTAGCGACGACGCCTGTCGCCGGTAATACTATAATTTCTTGTAGTGATACCCGAAATGACCCACAAATATGCTAAAAATGGCCTTAAATCCATGAATAAGGAGATATACCACTAGAATGATCAAGGTAACAACTTGTTACCTTCAAATGGAAGCCAAAACGATGTAGATGTTGGATTTACAAGCTCCTTCCCGTTCCAAGCTTCTCAACCTTCAAGTTTCTTCAACAAATGCACCAAAAACACTCTTTTAGCCTCACAAACACTAAAAAATGGGGTTAGATCGCTTAGGGTTTTCTTCTGGACGTGAAAGGGTGGTAAGGAGGCTGAGAGGAAGGACTTAAGGTCCTTTAAATAAAGTGCAAACCCTAAAAATTAGGGTTTCATATTCCAGCTCCAACTCGTCGAGTTGGGTCCTCCAACTCGTCGAGCACGTCCCTTAAGTCACGCGGCCATATCCGTTTCTACACGACGAGTTGAGGCATCCAACTCGTTGAGTAGACCTTTAAATATGAATATAAAGCTGTAAAATTTATACCTGGGAGTCGGGGTGTTACAAGGGCGAGATAAGAATTTTGGAGATGACATGTGGAACTATTTTATTCTTTTATTAGAATAGAGATTAAGATGTGATGATGCGGTTAACAAAAAAAAATTATAGATATTATAATATGTTTTTATCCTTTAAACTTTTTAAATATATAAGAGAATAACATGTAAAATTGGAAAATAAATAAGAGGCTCAAAAAGTAATAAAACCCAATATATATATATATATATATATATATATATATATATATATATATATATCATTGCCCCACCGACAAGTTTGGTTACCACTCTTCATCACCATCATCTTCTTGGTTAATAATATCATTATTTTTAGATAATATTCTTGACAACCTAAAAAATAAACAAAATTTTCAATTTTGTCGTTTATTTAAGTCGGACACATTTGAGTTTGAATCCTAGATTTATCAGTGGAAAAAAGTGTTTTGAAAAGTATTAATAATGATACAATTATGAAAATATATCAAGGTATACGACCTTGACGAGTACAATTGTTAGAACATAATTTTTTTTTTGCCAGAGACATATTTTGGGAGGAAATAATATATATATATATATAGATATATATATATATATATATATATATATATATAATATATATATATATATTATTTTCTATTGGTTTCATTTAATGGTTTTTGCCACAGACATATTTTGGGAGGAAATTTCAAGTTTTACATTGTTGACCTGCCACTACTACACTAAAAGACGATTCATAATACAGTCTGCTGAAGTAGATCAGCTCACCCTCGTAGCATGGATTTGTTTTGTGAGCCTTTATTAGTAGTATATGCTTTCTTCAGCCGAGCCATGCATTTGTTTATTTATTTATTTATTTATTTTTTTTATGTTTGAAACAACAGTAGAGTAGGGAAGCGTATATTTTTACTAATTTTAGACCCATAGACCATATGTGGTCTGGGCCTAAATTCGTCTTCATGTGGCGGGGCTCAACTGGTGGGCTCGAAATGGACGATATTTGACTACTTTTTATAACTCATTGCTCGTTTGATTATGGGGTTAGGGTTTTTCTTCATCAGGAAATTTAATGCTAACACAGTAACAAATTAACCACACATATATTATTGATTTCTTCTTTTATTTATTAACATTTTTAATTAGAAAGTTGCTATTCTTTATTTTTGTTATATTTGGATGGATTGATAATCAATCTTTTTGGTAATTTAGTGTAAGAATATCCATGATTGGAACAATATATTTGGCCATTTTTATCAGCATTTATGACAATTTAACTTTGATACAAGATATTACGAGTAGCTATGGTACCACGATTTTCAAATTACTCTTATATATATGAGGCATAAGAGATTACTTTGATGCAGATTAAAACCATCTCCTTTGGTTTTGGTTTTCCATTGATCGTTTAAAACATGGAGCAAAATTTGAAGATTGTGTTCTTGGTCATGTTATTGCTTTCCATATGTGGTACAAACTCTTTTGTTTGTCTAGATAACTAGCAATCTAATTAACATCATGTTCCATGTTATCTCTAATGGAATATTCTTTAATTTTTAGGTTTGTTTATCTCATCTGTTTTGGCTGACAAAGGCTCGTTAATGAACTTCAAGAAGTGTGGTCCCTCAGTTGGATCATGTCAAATTAGCTGTCGAGTTGGGTTGCCTAAGTGTTGTAACGGTTTTTGCCTCTGTTTAGGATGCCCTTAATTTTGATTATTGTATTTAATATCATAAATATAAAAGGTTCGTGTCCAAATGTGTTTGTTCCTCGAGAAATCTGTGAAATAAAATTCATCCTGCTAAAGGATTATTATTATACAACATATGAATATATTTTATGTAAATCCTAATAACTTCCGTTTATTAAAATGAATCAGTGACTAATGATATCTACATGGTCATACGCCAGCTTAGTATATTAAATCTTGTCACTAATTTCTTGGGTTCGCAAACAGCAGATGAACCTTCCATTTTGAAATCACATTTGCATCTTCTTCGGTTCATCTCTTAATTAGTAGCCACTAAAGTTTTGGCATCTACTTACAGACAATATTAATTAATCGATCTATATATCTTTATGTACTTATGAAACATTTTTCCTTTCACCACTTTCATTTGAAATTCACATGCATTTTTCCTTTCACCACATTCATTTGAACTCGCATGACTTTTCAATTTCTTTCTAATAATGATATAAATTGGTTAATAAGATTAAATTAATATAAAAAATAAAGTATAATCATATATAAACTAAATTTCAATATTAAAAGAATATCGTTATTTCTACTTATAAAGTTATGTTTTTTAACCTTTTACATATTATACTTAAAATAATCAATTTATTATATCAATCTAGTATACAAATTATTATATCAAATTTAACAACAATGTTATTGTTATATTTAAAAAAAAAAATATTTGTAAAGATTTCAACTATATAGGTGTTTCTGCGTAACGCGCAGACATTCACTTAGTTATTAATAAAATACTCTTAGACCTGCCATGTGCCATCTTTTAAGCACGACCTTATGCCATGTGTCATCCCACCATCATTCTACTCTCTCCTTTTCCCGCCAGTGATTCCCAACATCCATCGACATTCAATTTCTAAATATCAGCATTTCGTTTGTATCATCAATCAATATTCAGAAATCATTATTATCATTATCTAATATCCTAATTTAGCTGCACTCAATCCATTCGAATCCTTACAAAAAAGGAACTCATAATGTACAAAAATTAATACTAATACTAATATTATCATATAATCATCTCATATAAAACACATATAATTGGCAAAAATAACTCAATACAATTTTCCTTTTCTGTTTGGCATTTAAATTAAAATTTTGAATAAATTTGAAATGTATTGCGAATGTTAATCTTATCATCTCTTTAAATTTAATATTTCGGAATTATAGGCTAAATGTCATATGTTTCAAATCATTGATTTCCTTATTTCCTTATTCCTTATTTGCACTTATAAAAGCCTTTTCCAAAGTAACAATTTATTACATTTGCATTTGCAAATACTTGTTGCGTGTTTGTCTTTTGATTCCTGCTTTCTATAGAGCGCCTCCTGATTCACAACCTTTCATTCACAGAATACCAAATCAACAACTTAGTGTATAAGTATCTTAAAATTCATCCTTTATCTATTGATTATATACATTTTCTTTTTTCTATTATGTTATGTTTCGAAATTGTATTATGTTAAACATGAAATGGTTTTGACAAATGCAAACTAATTCACACTTTATATGTTGACTATATTCGTTTTTTTTTGTTTTTTTGTTTATGTTTGTTTCTTTTTCATTATGTTTCGTTTCTTATGTTTCTTTTCTGTTACTCTATTTCATGTATATACGGTCAAACTCAAAGTAATTTTCTGAAAATGTATTAAATTTTAATGATATCTTTCATAATCATACTTTTATTTATGTTGACTTTAATTCCATCTTTCATGTATTATGTTAACCATGTAACAGTCATATATGTACATTTTTTTTGTAAAAAATTCACAAAGTTCTTAACAATCCTACTTTGATTTCTGTTGTGTATGGCTGTTTCTTTTTCATTATGTTTCTTTTGTGTTCTTCTATTTCATGTTGTATTCTTCTATTTCATGTATATACCGTCAAAATCAAAGTAATTTTCCGAAAATGAAACATCCCAAAAATACAGTCCAAAAATTTTCATTTTAAATTTATAAATAATACCATGGTAACCTAAAACATCTCATACAACATAAGTGATAGTATCTGAAAACATCATATCAGAATACATTATCAAAATCACATGTATAAATATCAAAGTGAATCCTCCCAGGCTAAAAGTTGTGGTGTGTGCAATGCAGTCATCCCAAGCTCTTCCCCTTACTAGCGGAAGTATCTGAAACCAAAACTGAAAACTGTAAGCACGAAGCTTAGTGAGTCTCCCCAAACTACCACATACCATACACATAAACGTATATAACATATATTGGGCCCCGCCCTGCTACCTCGGGCAATGCCCGACATCGGGCCCCACCCGGCATCAGACTGCATCCGGCATTGGGCCCCGCCTGGCATCAAGCAAAGCTTGACATACATATAAGCATAACTACTAATACACAAAACATGAGCATCATCACTTAATTATAGACATATAAACATTCCTCGGGCCCCGCCCAACATCAGACCAAAATCTGGAAGCATACAAACATTCCTCGGGAACCGCCTCGGCATCGGACCGTAGTCTGGAACATAAAAATACAACACATGCAATAATAACAAAGACATCAAGCATACTAACATTCTTCGGGTACCGCCCCGGCATCAGATCGAAATCTGGAAAAACATGTAAACCTACATCGGACCCCGCCCGACATCGGACCTTAATCCGGAACATACTAGCATACATAAACGGGCCGGACTTGGTGCCTTCGACCCGTTCCTACTGGAGGAAAACTCACCTCGTAAGATAACTGCGAAATCTCATGTGAGGAATTTCTGATGGCTGCACCAACGACTCCCCGGTTATCATTATTACAATAACACTTAGTCAAAATCTGATAATCCTTCTTAGGGTAAAATGACCATTTTACCCCTGGTCAAAGTCAACGTTATGGGTTGACTTAACTCGTCGAGTTCTATAAATCAAAAACCCTGAAATCGCGATCCAACTCATCGAGTCACCCCCTGACTGGCCGAGTTCCCTGGCTACTCATAGTCGCGATTAAGCGAGTCAAATCGTCAAGTCATCCTTAGACTCGTCGAGTTCTATGATATTCAGAATCGGGACATAACGATAAAACTCATCGAGTCCCTCTCTGGACTCGCCGAGTTCCTCAGTCTGTTTAGGCCATCTTAAAGGATTAAGCCCCTACTCTTCAGATCTAAGCTTCTTGTTTCTCATATACACTGAAAATGTCCTTTTAAGGGTAAAGTTTCCAAATTTACCCACTGCTACCCTCATTTGACGCGTTTAGCTCAAACCCTAAATCCTAAGGACTTAGATCTTGGTCCATAAGTCATCTATACTCCAAACTAAAGCATACAAACAGAGATCTAGGCCCTATGCATCATTTGAGCACGTAAAGTTTCTGACTTTACTTCCATGCATGGCCTTTTGGGGCTTGAAAGGCCAAAATGACATCTTAGAGCTTGCTTGGGGGCTCCAATGGCCATAAAGTTTGCACCTTTATGCCATAACAACCCTCTATAACCCCATATCTGAAGATATACTCACCTGGGACGTCCATATCCCAAAGATCAAGCTTCTTGGACCAAAAACTCAATAAAGTGGAAATAAGGAGATCTAAGAAACTACTAAGCAAGTTAGAGACCTGATTACCAGAAAATGATGAGGATGAAAGGAAGTATCTGGATCTACTATCTTCTCCTTGAATCCTCAAGCTCCTTCTTCTTCCACAAGCTTCAAAACACACAAAACTAACACAAAAATGGCTCACAAGCTCACAAATGCATTAGGGTTTCTGAAACTAGGGTTTGGGACTTGGAGGCTGGAAATGAGGCCAGCAAGTGGGGATTAGGATGCTTAAATAGGGTGCAAAACCACGAAATTAGGGTTTCATCTTGGCCGCCCTACTCGTCGAGTCGAGGCTCTCACCTCGTCGAGTAGGTGACTTAAAATCCCGCGTCAATTGGTCTTCCTACTCGACGAGTTTGGGGCTCCCAACTCGTCGAGTTGCTCTACAAAATTGAATAAGTTATGATTAAATGCGTACCAGGAATCAGGTGTTACAATTCTCCCCCACTTGTCTTAGACTTCGCCCTCGAAGTGTGCTGCGTCTGGATACAACTCCGGGTAGTGCTCCCTCATCTCCTCATCGGGCTCCCAAGTCCACTCTGAGCCCTTGCGGTGCTGCCACTGCACCTTCACCAACTCAACCCTCTTGTTCCTCAACTCCTTCGTCTTCTTGTGGAGAATAACTACCGGTCTCTCGACGTAATTCAGGCTGTCATCAACCTGAATATCCTCTAGAGGCACAACCGCTAAGTCATCCACTAAGCACTTCCGCAACTGAGAAACATGGAAAGTCCTGTGGATCTGGCTGAGCTCTGCTGGGAGATCCAAACGGTAAGCAACCCGGCCTACCCGAGCGAACACCATGAACGGACTGATGTATCTGGGGCCCAGCTTGCCCCGCTTCCTAAACTGGATGACACTTTTCCAAGATGACACCTTCAGGAGGACCATGTCGCCCACCTGAAACTCCAAGTCTGAATAGCTTTTCTGCCGACTCTGAGCAGTCTTGAGCCTACTCCAAACCTGCTGGATCCTCTTAGTGGTCTTGAGTACTACCTATGTACTCCCCATGACCCTCTGATCGACCTCGTTCCAATAGATTGGGGTCCTACACTTTCTCCCATATATCATCTCGAAGGGAGGTCGATCTATGCTAGAGTGGTAGCTGTTGTTATACAAAAACTCCGCTAATGGAAGATACGTATCCCAACTGCCACCGAAATCCAATACACATGCGCATAGCATGTCCTCGAGAGTCTGAATCGTCCTCTCGCTCTGTCCATCCGAATGAGGGTGGAAAGCGGTGCAGAAGTGGAGACGAGTACCCATCTCGTCGTAAAACCGCTTCCAAAATCGGGAAGTGAAACGAACATCCCGTTCTGACATCACCGAGACAAGCACTCCATGTCGTGCCACTATCCCACACACGTAGATCTCGGCCAGCTTCTCAGCCAATATACTCTCCTGGATCGGGATAAAGTGAGCACTCTTGGTCAATCGATCCACGATGACCCATATCGAATCTACTCCAGTTGCGGTCCTAGGA